ACTGGCAGCAACAGCTGGAAGGAGCTGCTGCTGTGGGGGCTGCTGGGGAACAAGTCTAGCTGATGGACCACCCCACCCCTCCTGCACACCTGGACCAGCAGCAGACACTATTACCTATGGCAGGACCAGCACCACACACTATGACCTGGGCTGCCCTCTGTACCAGGGCTGGGCAGGGCAGAGGGACCTGCTGCAGGCCTTATAAAATCTCTTGGCAGGCCAGATCTGGCCTACATACTGTATTTTGCTCTAGAGGCAAGTCTCAGCTGTGCAGGCAGGGGACTGTCAGAGAAGGTTTTTAGCCTAAAGTTGTGACTGCTCCAAACCTGAGCTAACACTAACACCAATCAGCATTTGAGATGCTCAAAGTGCAAAGTGTAACAAGGCCCTAAGATTTCTAATGAGCTTTTCCTGGTCCAACTCTGGAGTCATAAACTCCAAACGTGTCCCCGTTGATCTCTGTTGCTTTGTGCATTCATGCCAGTACACTCCCTCCTGTCCTCCTCTCCTTCATTATAGCCACACCAATTATCCAAACTCACATTGTTCTTTGTTTCTCAGCACTTATCCCATTACATCTACTCTTGAGAATACCATGGCTCCATAGTTTCATTTACCATTTTTATGATGACTCATGGTTAAGCTGATCATGAGGACCTGGTTTGGGTGAGCATATGCATCCCTGCCTCCTCCCCACCACCACTCACTCTCAAAAGTCAGTGGCTGCTGCAGATAGAGGTGGAACAGCTGGGCAGGAAGTCGTGCCTGCCTGCCCACCTGCCTGGAGCTCTGCACTGCTCCAACTCCCTGTCCACACCCCTGCATTTCTGGGATGGTCATTTTAATTCTCAACATCTGGCAGAACCCACCTTCAAAATCTGGGACTGTTCTGGCTAAACCAGAATATATGGTCACCATACTCATGGTAGATCATTAGAGATGTAATCCACAAAATGAAACCTAGGACATGAAGCAACCGAGCTACAATTCCTATGAGACTTAGACACTATTAATACATCAACATGTTTGTAGTTTGAGGTCACTGAACTTTTTAAATGGAAAATTGACAGTTGAAAAAAAATATTTTTTAAAACCCAATTTTTGGTCAGTTTGACAGAATTTTTTTGAGCATCCCTGATCCTCCTTCCCTATTCCTACCACTCCACTGATACCATTGCCCTCACTGTCACTTTGGCCCACATCTTGTGGTCATATGTATTCTTCTTTCTCTCTAGCCTTACTCATTCCATATAAAACCAGTGTAACTGTACCAATAATATGATTTTTAATATATTTTCTAAGATCTTTTTTCATGCTTTGTGGACTATTTTCATCCTTTCCCATTCTGGCTCCTGTGACCTCCCCTTCCTTCAGACTTCCACTGATATCTAGCATGTTGCCCTGTGGGTCAGGCCAACTCTCAGGATCTCAATATTGTGCTGTTAGACAGGAGGGTGTGACACAATTGCACATATACAAACACACAAATCAATTAGGTGCATACACATGCACACTACCAGCTCAGGCACATACACATCCAAACCAGCCTAGGCACATGCATACCTATCACCAATTCAAGCACATACACTATACACCCCAAAAGTTAGACACAGATCACTAATTCATATATCATGCACACAATGCCATATATATATATATATATATACACACACACACACACTCACCAGTTCACACACGTACACACAGGTAAGTTCCTAACTTGGATGGTACAGTGTGTATGTGTGTGCTTGGGGTACCTGGGGTAAGGTTAAGGTAAGAAAGTAGGAGTGTAGGGAGTGAAAGTTGCTGGGAGTGAAAGTCACCGGGACCAGGATTAGAACTGGTAGACTACAGGGGCCTGGGCTGAAGAACTGAGGCTCGGGGGTAACTTTAGGTTAATTGATTTAATCGATTAAAAGACAACGCCCAAAGCCTACAGAACAGGGGCCCCATGCGGTCACAGAGGCTGGGACTGGAGCCAGAGCTACGGGGGAGCTGAAAAGGTAGATGGGGACAGGGAAAATGGGACCAAGGGAAAGTGTGGGTGTTAAAGAGGGGCTCTGGGTGTGGGGAGCCAGAGGATGGCTCCGGGCCAGCTAGAGAAGTTACAGGGAGCGGCAGTAGGTGCTGGGATCTGGAGAAAGGCTCCAGCTGCTGGAGAAAACTGCAGAACAGCCACCAGGACCTGGGAAGCTGGGGGGGGGTGGAATGACTACAGACGGTGCCAGGGAAGCCTGAAAACAAATAGACGGACAGTAGAAAATCACAGGAAAAGTGACAGGAAAAGACGGCAGGGCAGCAGGAAAGCAGAGAAAGGCAGCAGAAAGTCACAGGGAAAAAGCAGTAGGAGCAGGGGGAGACCAGAAAATCACAGGAAAAGCAGCAGGAGAGACTGAAAGGCAGCAGTGAACCAGAAGCAGGAGAGGGAAAAATGAGACAGAAGTTAGAGGGGCGAGGAGCAGAGATTGGAGCAAGGCCAAACCATAGTAAAGCAAAACCCAACTTAGGGGTTCAAATAAGAGTTTTATTAAACAGACAACACACTACACAGCCCCATGAAGTTATTGGTTCACACACACA